CTCAGGGTGTGTCAGGAAGGCAATTCCAAAGCATAGGACCCATATATAAAAACACTTGACCTCCTTTAGTGGACTTTGCTATTCTGGGTACTACCAGGAGCCCTGAGTTTTGACATTTCAGAGTGTCTCTGAGCCTCGGACATTATCAGGAAGGCTATTCCAGAGTTTAGGAGCCATATATAAAACGCTTGACCTCCTTTAGTGGACTTTGCTATCCTGAGTGCTACCAGGAGCCCTGAGTTTTGAAGTGTCAGGGTGTGTCAGCCTCGGACATTATCAGGAAGGCTATTCCAAAGCATAGGACCCATATATGAAAACACTTGACCTCCTTTAGTGGACTTTGCTATTCTGGGTACTACCAGGAGCCCTGAGTTTCGACATCTTAGAGTGTGTCTGAGCCTCGGACATTATCAGGAAGACTATTCCCAAGCATAGGACCCATATAGGACCCATATATGAAAACACTTGAACTCCTTTAGTGGACTTTGCTATTACAGGTACTACCAGGAGCCCTGAGTTTTCACATCTTAGAGTGTGTCTGAGCCTCAGACATTATCAGGAAGGTTATTTCAGAGTTTAGGAACCATATATGAAAACGATCGACCTCCTTTAGTGGACTTTACTATTCTGGGTACTACCAGAAGCCCTGAGATTTGAGATCTTAAGGAGCAGGTTTGATTGTAGTGAGACAGACGGTTGGTTAGATAAACAGTAATTACACTATTAAAAGCTTTATAGGTAAGAAGCAATATGTTATAACCAATACAGAACTTAACAGGTGGCCAGTGTAAGGTGGATAAAATTGGGGTGATATGGTCATATGTTCATGTCATGTCTTTATTCATTGGCAGGATGCTGAAGCCATTTATCAATGGCTGAGTGAGTTTCAGCTGGAGCAGTACACCGTAAACTTTCTCAACGCTGGCTATGATGTGCCCACCATCAGCAGGATGACCCCAGAGGTGCGCTCAGTGCAGATTTCTTTAAAGAGATGTGCTGTTCAATTGTGTTGATGCTGATGGAGAGTATTATGCATCTTTTTTCAGGATCTCACAGCTATCGGCGTGACTAAACCAGGCCACCGCAAGAAGATTTCCCTGGAGATCGGCAACCTCAGCATTCCAGATTGGCTCCCGGAGTACATACCGGTAAATCACTGCCTGCCAGTTTGAAGCACCTGAGGTCTTCAGGTCTCTCACGGTGAAATCTCTTCTCTTAGCAGGACCTCGGGGAGTGGCTGAGTGCCATAGGTCTGCCCCAGTATCATAAGAAACTCTCGGAAAATGGCTACGACTCTATAAACATTGTCCGAGATCTCACATGGGAGGACTTACAGGAGATTGGCATCACCAAACTAGGTGAGCTTTGACTTAAACACAGAAGTACTGTAATAAAGGGTGACCAAACTAAAAGATAAGCTAGACCGGGGGTCCAAACTCGGTCCTGGAAGGCCGGTGTCCTGCTGAGTTTAGCTCCTACTTGCTTAAACACACCTACCTGAAAGTTTCTAGTACACCTAGTAAGAGCTTGATTAGCTGTTTCAGGTGTCTTTGGTTAGGGTTAGAGCTAAACTATCCAGGACACCGGTGCTCCAGAACCGAGTTTGGACACCCCTGAGCTAGACAAACACTGGTTTAGATGATTGATTATAAATTTAGCTAGAATTAGTATGAGTTTTACAAGTGAACCAGGATTTTAACTCTGTTTGGTCACATTTCTTAAAATAAAACTTGTCTATTGGGAAAGAGTGTTAACTCTCCTGTGAGTTATATGTCCTTTTGTGTTGAGTTGATGTGTGGTGTGCGGTAAATGCTGAATCAGTGTGTGTCCCTCTGACAGGCCATCAAAAGAAGCTAATGCTTGCAGTAAAGAAGTTGTGTGATATCCACAAGGCTCTTCTGCAGACTGAATCCGGACAGGGCACACTGCGCCGCAAAACACCTGCAGCCCTGGACCTGGTCGCAATCGAGCCCCCTTCTGAGAGCTGCGACCTCCCCTCGCCCCACACGCCCAAAATGATGACGTTCCAGGACAGCGAGCTGAGCACAGAGCTCCAGAGTGCCATGTCCTCACAATACAGCGGCTGCCAAGATGGACTAGCCATCAAGAGTGCAGTAGGCATGTCCTCTAGTCAGGAGAGCATTGATACGCGCTCTCGAGGGTCTGGACGCTCTCAGGAACCTCCCAGCACACCCTCGTCCACTTCAGCCCCATATACTTGCTCACGAGAGAGTCTAACAAGCCCCGACAGCAGTCCTGCTAAAGAGCGAAACATCCCCGAAGGCCGCGATCAGGGTCCACGTCCCCAGCAGCTGCCGTTCAGCTTTAAATATCCAACAATTACAGCCAAACCCAATCTGCAAGTCCTCAATTATCATCGTGCACAGTATAGCAGTGCTACGCTTGATCGGCACTCTCCTAGCGTGTCCAAGAAACGTACGCAGAGTCTATCCCGGTATGCTTTGTCTGATGGCGAACCAGATGATGAAGATGATATTGAAGGGGCTCAGCTTGCTAATGTAACCATGCCTTCATATGCCACGCTGAGCCGAAAGCCTACCAGAGGACAGTTGGCACGTCTTCAGTCCGCCCCAGAGCAATCTGTCGGACGGAGTCACTCTTTTGCAATTAGGGCTCGGCGTAAAGGACCTCCTCCTCCACCTCCTAAACGCCTTAGCTCCGTCAGCAGCAGCAGCACTAGTGTCGAAACAGTCTCCGAGTCTCCACCTTCTGGAGGAGTGGAGAATTGCAAGAGTGTAAAGAGCATAGCGGCGGCTCTAGAAACAGTCCTACCTGTGCCTACTGCGGAGCTCCTTCAAGAGACTTCAACTAGTGCAAGTGAAGGGTCTAAACGGAGACCTCTGAGTGAAAGCGAATCGAAACCAATGTCTGAGCCTGAGAGAGCCACGAAGTCAGACTCGGAGGAAGACGACGGGATGAAGGATTCAGGACTGGAGAGTTCATCTTCACCTCAGAACAGCTCAAGTGAATGCATCCCGTTTGCAGAGGAAGGCAACCTCACTATTAAACAGAGGCCCAAAGTTGGAGGACCCCTCAAAGTGGAGACCACCACCACCACCACAGAGTGTCCAGAGAAAGCCAAACCAGTCAAAACCCCCGACCTTCCAGAGTTCAATCTCAAAGAGTCCGACACCGTGAAAAGACGGCAGAAGCCAAAGGATAAGGAGCAGCCGAACGCAGTGTCTGGGGAATCGTCGGATGTAGGATCTCAGGACACAATGAAGCTCCGCATCAGTGAAAGCGATGTGAGTCTGCCATATGTGGAGCTTCCGGCCAAACCTGTGAAAGCACCTCCGCCTCTTGCCCCGAAACCTCCCAGTCCTCTGAGTCTATCACGGCACGCCTCTCAACCTGCTCCCGCACATCCAACAGGTACGGCTGCACAATCTATCATTTCAGAATCAATACCGCAATGTGTGTGCATATGCAGTATTCAAAAGGTATTGAGTTTCACTCCTTGATTCCTCTGTATACCCTGATTTAAGTGTTTTAACCATTAGGAATTATTGATCCATTGCTTATCAAGACTATGAGTAGATGATTGCCACCAAATGCATGAAGTTCTGTGTTATTGTTGTGCAGTTGTTGGCTCCAGCGTCACTCTGAGTGTTGTACAGAGTGTGGCCTTTGCAGCGCCTCCATCGCCAATCCCGTACTGTCCTTCAGCAGAAAACACGACTCAGGGGGTGACCTCAGGAAATGTTCAGACTCCTACAGAGGGAGGTCAGGGGGCAACACTGAAGCACCAGCGGCTGGAGAAGACCAGCTCCACCCTGGAGGAAGCCCTGAAGGCGGTGGAGAGAAAGCTGACTTTGAAGAACAACAACAACGTGGGGTGAGAGATGCTCTTTTTACACCAGCTTTACTTTTAAAAGGATCGATCACCCAAAAAAGTGACTATTTGGCATGGCTAACATACTTAACCACACTCCTTCAATGCTCAGTTTTGACAACAAACAGAAATAGTGAGGAGGAGGGGAGTCTGTTAGGCTGTAATAACTCTCCCCAAATCATTTTCCCTATCTTTCTGAATGAAATGCCTACTTTAGTAAGTAAGTAGCAAGTAAGTTATGTGTATTTATATAGCAATTTAAATGTGTATGGCCATACCAGCATCCACTTGGATCATGCGACGGCAGCCATAGGACAACGGCGCCAGTGCGCTTACCACACACCAGCTATAGGGGGAGTGAAGAGACAGTGATGGAGCCAATTCAGTGGATGGGGATGATTGGGAGCCCGGTAAGGGCTGATAAAGGGAATTTGGCTAGGACATCGGGGTTACACCCCTACTCTTTACGAGAAGTGCCATGGGAGTTTTAATGACCACAGAGAGTCAGGACTTCATTCGCGTGTCAAATTCACTTCAGAACAGACGCGGATTCGCGTGATGGGCAGGGCTTCTGTCTGCCCGGTGACTGTAGCTTCATTGCTAAATGGCTAACATGGATTTAATGAAGAAAATAACAGTGTTTATGTGCTTTATGAAGGCTGAAAAACAGCGTCGATACGTTTAGGGTTGTGTCTGAGTCCACTACATGCTTTCAGAGGTGCATCCAGCTCTGTGAGCTCATAAACTCCTCCAGAAACTGAACCTGGATGACGGAGGCTTTCAGCGGTGCTTCTGACTGAGCCAAGCCCAGTTTGATGACTTGTTGTCGGTGTCTTCTGGAGGATTTCCCCCGGGACACCATCAACAGGTTCTACTTCACAATCACGCCCCCACAAGAGCAAGCTTCTGATTGGTTGACGCGGCGCAAATGTCTGCTGAAGTTCAGATTTTCGAACTCGAGAGATTCGCGCGAAACGCTCGTTAAGCGCGTCGAACGTGCAAAACGCTAAATTCGCCTCGTGCTATTCGCACCATGCAATTCGCGTCATTCGCTCCGCGCCATTCGCGCGTATCACGCCACAGGATGTCTATTCGCACGTTTGCATTGACCTAACATGTAAATCACACGCGCTTGACGCGCGTTCCGCGTCTGGTGTGAACGCAGCATAAGGCTCACAGTATGCCCACTTCCATATACTGATCTTTTATTATTCTACTATGCATTGGGATACCCAGATTTTCACCATAGGGCACTGTTAAAAAGTTATAAGAACCCTGCCCGATACGATCAGTTTACACCAGAGTTCACAGTGTTGATGATCTCACAGCCTGAAACACCGGCGTTCACTCTCAGTCTCGCTGAACTCCTCTGTTTTTTGTCTCCTTCAGTGTTTCTCATGCGGTGAAGTCTGCGGGGAACATTCTGGACGACATCGGGAACATGTTTGATGATCTGGCTGATCAGCTGGATGCCATGCTGGATTAAAGCTATCAGGGTTTTTTTTTTGACAATGTCTTGGACATCCCTGAATCAGGAGAGTGGAAATCTTCACAATTGCCTTACATTTCAAGCAGAGAAGAACTCTCAGACAAAGCTCTGCCCATCTCCATTTCTAAAGACCACACAGACACGGATCTCTACTTATTTTGTTGATTCCGGTTTCAGTTTACCAGCATATACGGTTTATATGTATGTGTGTGTGTTTCTTTTTGTCCTGTTATTGTATTGTTTTTGGGAGGCTGGATTGTGGACCAAGCATGACCCAAGCGAACTGTGCAGATGAAAGACGTGCACTTAGGAGATCCATTCCTAAAGCAATATACATTTCACAGCGCTACGCTGATTCAGCACATTTATACACTACAACAAATGTTTTCCAGTCGAAACATCTAAAAACTCTTAAATCAAGAAGCATTTTCATGACAAGTAAAATATTGTTGTTTTTTTGAATACTACCCGAGTAAAAATTAAGTGAGTTTTTCCTTAAAACGAGAACAACAATCTGTGATTGGGCTAAATAAAATAATGTTGTTTTAAATTTGATATATGGTATTTTACTCACAGATTTTTTTAGCTTGTTTGATGAAAAAACTTATTTAATTTTGACTTGTTTAAAAAATAGAAAGTAAAAAAAAATTATATATATATATATATATATATATATATATATATATATATATATATATATATATATATATATATATATATATATATATATATATATATATATATATATATATATATATATATATATATATATATATATATATATATATATATATATATATATATATATATATATATATATATATATATATATATATATATATATATATATATATATATATATATATATATATATATATATATATATTTTTATATATATATATATATAAATATAAATATATATATATAA